GAAGCACTACAACTACGAACACTCGAAGATCAACTTCCGTGATAAGAGAAGCGCCATTAACTCCATCAATGAGTGGGCTGCCAAGTCAACTGACGGAAAGCTGCCAGAAATTACCAAGGATGTGAAAAACACAGATGGGGCTATGATCGCCAATGCTATGTTCTTTAAACGTAAGTGTTCAAATTAAGATGTCATATAAATTGCATTTAATTATTCATCCCGGACGAACCCCCAATTGATATTTACTTTCATAGTTCCAAGAATGTCTGTATGAATTACTTTTAAATGATTACATTTTATTAAATTATTCACACAGATCTAGTCACCATGTCCTGGCTTTTTTATATAGATAGGATGAATATTTACTTGAATAGTTACAGGAATCTCTATATAAATCATATTTAATTAATAATTGTTCAATTCTATTTAATTATTGATCTTGGCAGGCCCCATTTTTCATGTCCTGTTTTTTTTAATAAATGTTTTGCTATGATGGATATTTACGTTGGCAGTTCCTGGAATGTCTATAAAAAATTATACTTAAATACTAATCATTAAATCATATGTAATTATAGATTCAGAAGTCAGCATTGATATTTACTTTTGATAGATATTTACGGTTGATATTTATTTTATGTAAGTATTAATTTACATTATTTATCCTGAAGAGAGCCAGGCCAAAATAACAAACACAATACTGACTAGAAAGACCAACCTAATTATTAATATTAATGGCTTATTTCTGTTCCACAGCCCACTGGGATGAGAAGTTCCACCACAAGATGGTTGACAACCGTGGTTTCCCCGGTTTCCCGCTCTCACGCGATCTCTGTTCCAATGATGCATCGCACAGGTAAAACCAACAGCTTGTTTTGAAGTCTCTTACTCAAAATCTACTATACCTACAAGTGAACTTAACATTATTTAACTTTGCACTTTACAGATATCTACGGCTTCTATGAAGACACACAGAACAAGCTGCTTGTGGTCAGCATGCCTTTGGCACATAAGAAGTCCAGCATGATTTTCATCATGCCCTACCATGTGGAGCCTCTGGAAAGGCTGGAGAAACTGCTCACTCGCCAGCAGCTGGACACCTGGGTCAGCAAGCTCGAGGAGAGAGCGGTCGCCATCTCTCTACCTAAAGTTAGCATGGAAGTCAGCCACGACCTTCAGGTAAACATGGCTGATTTTTGCTATATAGTTGCTATATAACAACTACTACTATTTTGTGCATGAAATATGAGGCTCTTTCCTCTTGCTTTGCAGAAACATCTTGCAGAACTTGGTCTCACTGAAGCTGTGGACAAGTCTAAGGCAGACCTGTCCAACATTTCTGGCAAGAAAGATCTTTACCTCGCCAATGTCTTCCATGCCTCTGCCTTGGAGTGGGACACAGAGGGAAACCCATTTGACACCAGCATTTATGGTAGCGAGAAGATCAGGAACCCCAAGCTCTTCTACGCCAACCATCCCTTCATTTTCCTTGTGAAAGACAACAAGACCAACTCCATTCTTTTTCTTGGCAGGCTAGTTCGGCCTAAGGGTGATAAAATGAGAGATGAATTGTAACTTTTAGGCTATTTGAATTTTCTGATGTTTTAAAATGGTATTATTGTTATTATTGGTTTGACTGTTACCTCATGTGGCCATTCCGATGGATTATCTGTGTATGGACAGTCTCAGTGAACCTTTCAGTACAAAACCATTTTTAAGGAGACCGGTTACAGTATAAACATCAGGAGTAATGCAATCCTATAGGTGAAGAATTAGAACCCTACAAATGTAACCAGAGATTTGACATCAATTTGTTTGTGTATTATTCAATCAGACACTATGCTTAAATTAAGTGTAGTGCCATTGATGTTAAGCTGTGGTATTTTAGATTGTGCTTGTAGAACCTCTCTTTATGAGTATGTGACAGCTGTGTAGGGTGTGCCTTATCTTTAATGTTTAAAGGGAAAAGGTAGTCCTATTCAAGTGTTTCTCAAGCATAGTTTGTAGGTTTCTATGATTTAACTTCCATCCAACAAAAAACTCTTGGCTCCTGCACTTATACCGGTCTCCAGTTTCTTAGATGTCATGTTTAAATATGTCTTTATCTTTTGAGAAAGTGTGCTGATTTTCTCCTTCGTTTCATTCTGTGAATTTCTGTAGTTTTTTTTTTCCAATAAATTAAATAAAAGAATATTCAATTCAATAAAGAAATTTTTAAAAATATATACTGTCCTGTTTTTATTTAAATAAATGAATAAATCCATAAAATAAATTAAAACATAAATAAATCCATACAAAAGATCAAATCTAAAATAATACATACAACAAATAAATAAAATCTCAAATTGAATAAAAGCCATACTATCCTGAATAACTGACAATAACTAATAACGACAGATAAAAGCACAGCGCATTGTCACTGCTCTGTCATTCCTAACAGTTTAATCCCAGTCATTCCGCCTGGTTTGTTGTGTCAACCCTCTGTGGACTGGAATGTGAAGCTCTAGCTGTGTGTTTATTCCACTGAGGGAATAAAATGTTGTCTCACCTCCTCACCTGTTAAGTGACACAGATTTCCCAGACACCGTGCTGTCTTTATGGCACCATAAACCTCTAAACCACAAAGTTTTGACGTGAGGAAGTAACTATTTCCTTTCACACTAGCAGATCCATCCTGTAGGCTGAATGAGCCAATGAGTGGACATATACAATAGAAGGATTAGCGGCTGGAGTCGAGGGCTCGCATGATGAGATAGGCATCAGAAGAGGCTAAGAAAATAGTCAAAGAGGAGATCGTCAAGATAAATAACCAACCTGTAAACCTTGCCAGGATAACCCAGCCGACGTAATGTAATGTGCATAATATTCATAAAATGAAAGCAACTGGTTTAAGGATTATGATTAAAGAGAATAGGCTACTGAATGTAGGCTACGGAATCAATGCTTTGGGTTGATCTACAGAACAAAACCTTTATAACAGGGCCATCTTGTGGTAAGCAACAAAACTGCAGAAAAGACCTCCAGTTCTCAAACATTTTGTTAAATGAGAAATGGTTGAGAATAAAGAACAAACCAAAAACAACTTTAAATTTTTCGACACAGGCTTTTATGTCACAACACCTTTTTACTTATATTTACTTAGGCCTACCTGTTTACTTTTATTTTAATAAATAAAATATAATAAAATTAGCTGTCGCCGTTGCTAATTAGTGTCGCAAATTCTAAAGCTTAAATACTGTAGCCTACTTTGTACTTTTGAAGTAGGCCTAGCCCTCACTTAGAAAACTTGTTTGCAACATATGCCTAAGTTTTTTAAGTACTTTGTGTTGTAAAACAAAACGTTAAAGTTAAACCTTATACAGTCTACGAGTTAAACACATAGCCTACTTTAGTTTTTTAGTGTTTTTCCATAAATAAAAAAAATCGCCATACTAAAACCAAAATAGGAAATAATATTGAGGGGACCTGAACGCAAGTGTTCATCAGTGACAAGAACAATGATTTGGTGCTTGCCTTGATATGCTGCGAAATATAGCTAATATCAAACCTGATATGATTGACATCGGTAGCCTTAAACAATTAAACAACTTAAATTAAATTAAATTAAATTAAACAGTTAAACTTTCTTGTGTAACACGTACGCCAGCGGTTGCGCGCGCACACCGTTAAGAAACCTTGAATCAGGTGACTCATCTGTTTTGAAATGATGGAAATTATTGTTTACTGAGGCTGTTACTTAGCTTTCATTATAGCCTGTAATGCAAGAAGAAACAAAAAGGCATGGCAAAAAATGACTTGTTCAACTGTGTTATTGTCTGTACCGAGCATCAGAACAACATTGTCTTTTGCTAGCATAAAATTGAACGTTTCAAGTCTCCTAATGCTATCCTTATTAATACAATTGCTCATGAAATGTAACAATTATAGTATAATATTGTACAGTACTTATATACATGTTTAACAGACAATTAAAAATGCCAGGAGTGCAAAACTGAACTATTAAAGAGAGGCCTGTTGAGATCTGACAGGCCTTTACATTGACTCCCAGAAAATGAGATCAGTCAGAAAAATTATTATTAAAAATGCCACTCGGGCTGTGCCTGGTAGGTTTTGATTTACAGAAAATGCAAGTTATCATTTTAAACAGCTTATGTAAGGCAGTCAATCCCTCTCAGACAAACCCAGCCTACATGTTTAATACAACTTAAACTGCACAGCATCTTAAACATTTCACTTTACATCCAGTACAAGCACATGTGCTTCATCAGAGAGAGACAGGACCCTTTATTAAACCGAATTGTCTGATTTTATATGTAATTTAAAAGCAGTATCAGTTTTGCCCTGTTTTCTAAATGTATTGCCAAGTACAACTAATAAATATTATGCATAGTATAAATAAATATCTTTGCATAAATGACCAGAATTCACAGAATTATTGCATTCCATTTTGTAATTTCTCTTAAGCAACTTCTTACTCAGCATAAACACAGTCATATTTCACGATTTCATGAGTCCAGAGACAACGTACAGCAGCCTTACATTTGTAATCACTTGCTACCAACCAACCTCAGTCGATCTGGCTTTTGCATAAACATCGCTAGAATATCCCATTTGGTCTTTGCAGCAGATGTCCACTAAGCCTTGCCAAATCTGATTATGTCACTACATTGTTTTTTGTTTAGAGAAGATCAAAGAAAATCAATTAAAGCTCCACCATGAGTAACAAATATGTGAGAACACAAAATGTGAAACATCTGTGAAAAAAAACAAACAAATGTGAACTCGCCTTTGGTACGAGACGCACACTGAGCCACTCTGTGACCAAAACAGAGTAAGTGTGACAGTGTTAGACACTGGGAAAGAAATATATTTTCACTTACTACATGTTCTTCAGAGGCCATTTCATTAGCGCTGTTGTTTCTGCTGCGCTGGGCAGAGTCGGATTAGACAGACGACAACCAATCCTATTAAAGTAGTCTTTGTAAGCTGCAGTGAAACACACATGCTTGTGTTGTCCATTGTTTCCCTCCCATGCAACTTGTCATGTGTCTTTCCTTCTTGGTCAGTTTTAACATCCTTGTGCTTCTCAGATTTTGGGCTTGTCCACTTGTCTGTTGGCCTTGCGAAATATTGACTTGATCTCCTCCGTCATCATGTCTTGCCAGTTATCTCTAAAAGAGGAGAAGTAATTTAGAGAGTTATCGATGATGATGAAAGACAGAATTGTTTATCATTTTTGGACCTTGGTAAGTAATGCATTTCAAAAAACCTGCAACAATACACAACATGCACAAATAATCGGATAAGCAGAAAGTCCGACACCACAATAACCACCATCACAGCACAAACAAACCCACCAGAAAACACCCTAACCAAATGACAAATACAGCACAGCATGCAAGGTACTACCTCCTTGCAAATGTCTACGGGTTCATGCCTTTTTCTCAGCTTTCCTTCTCCTGTAAGCCTCAATGTCCTCAGGTCTCAAACCATGGTTGTCTTCCCTGATGCATAAATCCAATTATCCAATCCGTAAATAGTATCCCATTCATAAGTACAAAGAGAATTAATCTAAACCACAAAATGCATCTAAAAGTACAATTTATTTGGAAAGTGGTGCAGTAAAATACAATTTATATTCAGTTAAATAAAGTGCAGTATAATAAAAAGGCCACTGCTTATATATACTGTATATATATGTGTGTGTGTGCATACAAAATGTATATTTGTTTAAAATAAGTGGTAAAATACTATTAAATCCTTACCCTGGTTTGATCTCAGGTGGTTTTGGCAAAGGCTTTGTAAAATTAGACTTTCCTACAAGCCAGTATGTTTCTTCAATGCCTTTCCCCTAAAAAAAATCCATAAACATGAATAAAAAATGAAAAATGTCCACTGTAAGTTACTGCAAAAGTTTGGGGGTCAGTAAGATTTTTGTAATGTTCTTGAAATAAGTCTTTCATGCTCACCAAGGCTGCATTTATTTTATCAAAAATATAGAAAACATTTTTTGTTTTTTGTTGCAATTTGAAATTATTGTTTACCATTTTAATACATTTTAAAATCATTCTAATATACTAATGTGGTGCTGAATAAAAATTCTCACTTATTTAAAATAAAAATCTTTTACATTATAAATGTCTTTAATGTCACTTTTGATCAATTTAATGCATCCTTGCTGAATGAAAGTATTAACTGACCACATATATTTGAACGGTAGTGTATGTTCAAATATTATATAGTTATTATTTATTATTTAGTATGATTCTTAAAAGAAAGTGTTTGTGTTAGTACCTTAAGCTCAGTCTTTCCTCGGACTTCTATTTTGTAGCCATCGTTCAGTGAGCGGAGAATATTCACTGTACTAATGTTCACATGAATTCTGTAAGCTGAAGGAAATAATGTTTATTGATGTATCTTCTCATTATAGTGCATCATGGGTTAGTAAATCACAAAAATATCTGAATGGAACATACGCAACCCTGTAGATTCCATACGAGAGGCGGTGTTGACTGTGTCTCCAAAAAGGCAGTATCTAGGCATAGTTAGACCCACGACTCCAGCAACACACGGACCTGGATAGAGAAGAAACATGATAGGATGAGGGACAAGAAGTACAAATTTGGACATCAAAAGATTACATGAGCATCACAAGAGGGTTTTTGTTCAGTACCACTAAGCGGATAAAAACAGCTGGAGATTGAGAGCTCACCTGAGTGAATGCCGATCCGTATTCTGACCGGAACTTCTGGCATGTGCCGCATCTTGAAGGAGCCCACGGAGCTGAGAATGTTCAGGGACATGTTGGCGATCTCGGCTGCGTGCTTGTTGCCGTTCCTCTTCGGCAGCCCAGAGGCCACCATGTAGGCATCTCCAATGGTTTCAACCTGTGATAAAGAAGAGTTAACTGGCTTTTCATGGAAATCGATTGCTGTTCGGTTCTCTCAGACTTCCAACGTACCTTGTAGACATCGTGGCTGCCAAGCACGGCATCAAATAGGGAGTAAAGGTCATTGAGCAGGTCTACAACCTCAATTGGGTCACTAAGGGATGAGATGGTGGTGAAGCCTACAATGTCACTGAAGTAGAGGGTGACTTGATCAAAGTACTCTGGCTCCACGGAGGCACCGGTTTTCAGAGCTTCTGCCACAGAACTGTGAATGAAAAATGACATGAAGCTTAATTTGACATAGATGTTGATCCAGGAACAGGTCTTAGTGGAGAAAATAAAATGAAGTATGCAACCGTATGTGAAAGGAAGTGTTGGTGTGTGAAAACGTATACTCACGGAGGAAGCATCTCAGCCAGAAGCTTCTCTGTCCTCTGTTTCTCTACCTCCAGCTCCTCTGTTCTTTCCCTGATCAGGTCCTCCAGGTTAGAGGAGTACTGCTCCAGCATACGCAGCATGGAGTCAATAATATTGGTCTTTTTGCCCTTGTTGATGAGCTTGAACTGAAAACAGAAAATAAGGAACCATTATCACTGAATATAAGAAAAAAAATCACTATATACAGGTAGTTGTCTTTTAGACCTTTGCCAAGAAACTTTCATGAAAGTGTCTTTAATGTAAAATTTGGGAGTAAAGCAATCCAGTGATATATATATATATATATATATATATATATATATATATAGACTCTTATACTCACAAAGGCTGTATTTATTTGACTAAAACTTTGTATTTATTTGATTACAAGATTACAGTACATCAGTAATATTGTAAAATATGTTAACTATTAAAAACTTTAAAATAACTTTAAAATAAATTTTAATATATTTTAAAATGGTTTTTATTCATGTGATGGCAAAGCTGAATTTTCATTGCTCAATTTCAATTACTCCAGTCTTCAGTGTCACATGATCCTTCAAAAATCATTTTAATATGCTGATTTGTTGTTCAAGAAACATTTCTTATTTTTTACCAATATTTACCTGGAACATGGAAACCATGACACATTTTTCAGTATTCTTTGATGAATACAAAGTTCAAAAGAACACGATTTATTTGAAATATCTGAATTTTTTTGTAACATTAGAAATGTTTTTATTGTCACTTTTGATCATTTTCATGCATTCTTGCTCAATAAAAGTATTAATTTATTTTGAAAAATCAAAATATATAATTAATAATAGCAATAATACATCAGATAACCCAAAATAAATCAATTATGATGCTAAAACAATAATGGAATACAATAAATAACAACAATAAAATAAACAAAATACAATAAAATAAAATGGCTGGCACAATATACTGTAAAATCATTATACAAAGTAAGCAACCATTCTAAAACTACAAAATTCCTTAGATTGCATGTTTGTTGCTCTGCCAATGCACTCAATAAACTCCAAAAGCAACTACTCTAAACTCACCTGATCAAAGATCTGATCAAAAGGAGGCCTTCTATCAGGCTGTTCAGTCCAGCACTGCTTCATTAACTGGATGCATTCCAGTGGAGCTTGATCTGGAGCGACAGTGGGCCTGCACATAGGCGGAGGTTTCTTCACCTTCCTTATTATCTCTGTGGATACCATAAACATGCCATTGCTTAAAAAGTGATGCCAAATTTCACTGATAATACCTGCCCAGTTACTGTTGTAACAGCCTGTTTACCTCTTTAAAACTGGTTCTTCAAACTAATACTGTAAGAGGAATAATTTTGTAGATTTTCTTTATAACCAACCTTCAGGAGACAAGCCGAGCATGCAGTACGGCGCTCCTCTGACCACCACTTCTTGAAGTATAATCGAAAAACTGTACACATCTCCTTTATAAGTTCCTTTTCGGGGACTTTCAGGGTCTCTGAGAAGTTCAGGAGCTGTCCAGAATAGATCTGAGAGACAAAGAACTGCCTTATCACATTTTTGTTTAATATCAGAGAATTGGATGGAGTAAAAGTGAGATTTGCATTGTAAATAAACCAGATTTTTAAAAAGTAAACACTCATACCCTCTGGAGGTGGGGTCTCCTTTGGAGCTTTCTGGGTCTCAAGAATCTCATTGTATCCATAATCAGTGATCTTTAAGACAAAACGTCCATCTACTACACAATTATGAGACTTCAGGCGCCCATGAGGAAATTCCCTGTGGTGAAGATATTTCATGCCCTATTGGATGGGTACCAGAAACCAAAGACAGTACTAATTACACATACAATGATATGCATCAGTTAACAGTCATCATATAAAAAACAATGTCATATTAAAATTTAAATCAATTTATGCAAATTATGGTTTAATATAATAATAATAATAATAATAACAATAATAATAATAATAATAATATTGGATGGGTACCAGAAACCAAAGACAGACATTATAAATGCATTTGAAAATGATCTGGAGATTACATTTTCACATTAATATTCATTATAATGTTCAAAAGTACCTTAATGAGATCCAGCACTAAAGAGGATTTAAACATCCAGTCCAGTTTGACATCTTCATTGCGAAGGAGATCGTGTAGACTCCCTCGAGAACAGTGTTCAGTCACAATAGCAAACATCTCACAATCGGTGAAGAACCCCAAAAACAGATTGACATTTTCATTCCGTAGGTCCTTCATCTGGGAATTATAAAGATGACAGGAAGTGTCACTCAAAGAACAAGCTCATACCAAACTGTTGATTTTAAATAGTGTTTTGAGCCAATACCTTGGTGAAGATCTTAGTGGTGCTCTGTTTAACCTCCTTGAAATGTCCCTCCTTAAATTTTTTTAGCCACACCCAGTCGCCCTGCAAAGATCAAAATGATTTCAATTGTGTCAAGTTGAAAAAACATGGTGTGTTCAACAAAAAAAATTGAAATGACACATAAAATCACCTCATATACAGCCACGTTTGAAGTTTCATGTGTTGCTGTTGCCATGCTATTCACAGAGCGGGAACGTTCACCTGTGCTCTTCTCCTCAATGTAACTTTTTGAGTCGCAAAGATCCTCAAGGGTGATTTTCTGTGAGAAAAGAGATACATAGAAAATATAACATTTTCAAAAAAGGGCTTAATGTTTAAATAAAACAGCTGGTCGGGTGACGCATACCCTCTTGCTCAGCTGAGGGTTGATGAAGGTCAGATCCTCAAGCGTAAGCAGGATTCTGTTGGGCCCTTTGATCAGCTGGATTTGTTGGATTCGCCTCCTACAAAGTTCAGACAAGATCACACACAACTTCTTGTACCTTCTATATATTCATGAATTGAAACAAATCTTATCAAAACCACAGCAATTATTACCTTACGAATAGAGCTAGACCAATAGAACCAAGAACTATAATGAGGACAATCACAAACGCTATGATGACATATGTTATTTCCACACCTATAACACAAAAGAATAAATTAGCTAACAAATGCATAGCATATGTGACCCTGGACCACAAAACCAGTCATAAGGGTCAATTTTTCGAAATTGAGATTTATACATAATCTGAAATCTGAATATATAAGCTTTCCATTGATGTATGGTTTGTTAGGATAGGACAATATTTGGCCGAGATACAACTATTTGAAAATCTGGAATCTGAGGGTGCAAAAAAAATAATTTAAAAAAATCGCCTTTAAAGTTGTCCAAATGAAGTTCTTAGCAATGCATATTACTAATCAAAAATTAAGTTTTGATATATTTACAGTAGGAAATTTACAAAATATCTTCATGGAACATAATCTAATGATTATGACCTAATGATTTTTGGCATAAAAGAAAAATCAATCATTTTGACCCATACAATGTATTTTTGGCTAATGCTACAAATATACCCCAGCGACTTAAGACTGGTTTTGTGCTCCAGGGTCACATATAAGTTACTAATTACACATACAATGATATGCATCAGTTAACAGTCATCATATAAAAAACAATGTCATATTAAAATTTAAATCAATTTATGCAAATTATGGTTTAATATAATAATAATAATAATAATAACAATAATAATAATAATAATAAATATTAATAATAACAACAACAATAATAATAAATCATACAGTCATGATGTGACAGTAACAATAATCATATGAAAACAGCAATGTCATATTGGTTAGCATGATTAAAAATAAAACATTACTGTTTCATTTTAATTATTAAATGTAATTGTAATTTATTATTTCTTTAAATTATTTGGCTTCGAATAATAAAAATAACAATGTTTCAAATTTATTAGTTACAACAAAAAATTCAGCATAAAGATATTCATTTTGTTTTTACTATGCTCATATATACAGTGGGTACGGAAAGTATTCAGACCCCCTTAAAATAAATATATATAGAGAGAGTGAGAAAGAGAGAAAGCTGCTAATGTAACTATAACTAAATCGTAATTATTAATTTTAATTGAGTATTTCTTCACAAAAATTTATTATTTCTAAAAATATATATATTTTCTTTAAAATATTTCTTAAAAGAATAATAATAATAATGTTTAATATTGATCATTTACTAAAAATATTGAAGATAAAATACCAAGTAATATTTCTTAAAATTATTTGAATTTGAATGTTATTATTTTAATAATAATAATAAGAAGAAGAAGAAGAAGAAGAATGCAGGTGGCTCATAAAGGTGCTGTATGTAAGTTTTTGACTCTACTAAAGCATAAAAACACCATAATATGTTTGCAGATATTTAAAAAAACATGCTAAGTTAACATACTTAAAAACAATGCTACAGTCAGTTATTCTCCTTTGAAAATGTGCGTTCCAGGCCAGAATGTAGGTCTTTGTTTTGGTTTGTGAAACCCGCCCACTGCCAGTTTACCCAATTGTATTTCGGCACCCTGGGTTGCCAGTTGGCGGAAAACACAGCGTATTTCATTTCATTCATCGTCATGTGCGCTCGTTCCTGTTGGTGTCGTCAATCTGGCAACCTGCGTGTGCGTCAAGTCTGAGGAGGAGGGGCCGGGTGAAAAAAACCTCTCCAATATTTTTAATTTGGACTGCAATACCTAGTTCAACCACTCGGTGTAAATCCTACATACAGCACCTTTAACCACTGATTTCTAGTCGTGTCCTCTTTTGGAAGGCCAAACAAAGTAGTTTC